ACATTCTTCTTCATTTGAGTTTTCTTGAGCCAATAAATTTGCAATAGTATCCTCCGACGCTAAGATATATAACTTCAATGTCTCACTTCGATCAATTGGAATTAACAAAGGTAGATTACTCAATATTCACTTTCTATCATCAAAAGCTTTTTGATGCTCACTATTCCACTTGAATTCACTTTCCTTCTTCAGTCTCAATAAAGGAGAAAACACACTAGTTTTTCCTGCCAAATTCAAAATAAACTTTCTTAGATAATTAATTTTACCTAACAAAGATTGTAATCCCTTTTTATTTTTAGGGGACTTAGTTTCAATTATTGTCTTTACTTTATTTCTGTCGATTTTTATTCATTTCTCATGAACAATAAATCCCAAAAATCCACCTGCATTCACACCAAAAGCACATTTTAATGGATTCATTTTCAATTTATGACACCTCATTCTTTCAAAAGCTTTATTTAACTTATTTAAATGAGATTCATTCGATTCAGATTTTATAACTATATCATTGATATAAACCTGCATAAAAGCTTCAATTAAATCATGAAAAAGTAAGTTCATTGTTCTTTGATAAGTTGCTCCAGCATCTTTTAAACCAAACGACATAACTAACTATTCATATGTTCCTAATACTCTAGGGCATCGAAAAACATTTTTTGAGATATATTTTCAGCAGTATATATTTGATTATATCCAAAATATTCATCTCAAAGACTCAATATTTCATTTTCCGCTACTGTATCTATTAACATTTGAGCATTAGGCATCGGAGATTCATCCTTAGGTGTTGTCTTATATAAATCTCGAAAGTCAATACATATTTTCATCTTTCCATTCTTTTTAATAACAGGAACAATATTAGAAATTCAATCCACATACCTAGTTGTGAGTATGAATTTAGCTTTTAACAATATTTCGATTTCCTCTTTTCCTCTTTTATTTTATCCATGACATCCAGTGCAAACTTTCGAGGAGTTGGTTTGATAGATTTTTTCCCTTCGATTATGGACAACCAATGTTCTACTAAACTTTGATCCAAACTCGGCATCTCATCATACTCTCAAGCAAAACAATCTTTATATTCTTTAAGCACCTTAATCAATTCTATCCTCATATCTTCTTTTAACAACTTACTTATATAAGTAGGTCTTTTCTCTTTTCCATCACCTAAATCCACTTTTTCTAATTTACTCCTTGTTGCATTCAATTCTTCCAATCCTAAAGGCAAACAATCATAAACACAATCCAACTTAACATCCTCGTTGAATGGATTTTTATTATATACTACTATCGATGATATTGACTTATTCGACTCAATCCTACTCCTACTTATCGTCTATTGACTCTCTAGCAAATGCAATAAGCAACATGGTTCTGTAATCGAGCCAAGAAACTATCATAATGTGACTCAGTCATTGTCCACCGCCATTTCAAGGTTGGCCTCCTCTCTTAGCACAAATACTTCATCAGGATGTTTTTCAACGAACCAAGTCTTAAGCATTTTTGAATTGAAATCTTCAGGTGTTTCAAAAGTAAATGCCTGGTCATAACCAAATTTCTCAAAGGTTTATCCGCATGTGAAATATAAACTATAAAGTTTGTATCATCCCCTTTAATCACTTCCAAACATCCATCTCTATTTCACATATAAAATTTTTTTTGAAGAGCATTTGAAGGTACTGTCCCCACACCATGTATTCATTCCCTACCCAATAACACATTAAAATTGGTGTGAGATTTTATGATGAGTCTCTAGTTGTCCTAGAAACGAAAAAGATCATTCCTAGAAGGATCACTAGCAACATAACTAAAAGGAGAGATAATTAATTATGTGGGTAGATAATTATTATGTAATATAAGCATTAATAAACTATTGGTAAAATTTTTTTTAATAAAAATATAAATGATTGTGATTATAATTATTTTTTTATTTTTACACAAAACTCACATCAATCAAACAAAAAGTTAAAGTCATATCAATTACTCAAACAATAACTTAATATATATATATATATATATATATATATATATATAAAGTTAATATTTAATATAAATTATATAGTCTAAATGATTAAATAATATAAAACAATGATATTATTAAAATTTGTCTAAAGTTAAACATTTTTTTGTGAATTGTTATTTCGAAAAATACTAATTAGTGGTAGGAAATTTTAAAAATATATTGTGACGTTAAAGTAACTTTTAATAAATTATTTTTATCTATACACATCAGTTTCAACACTACTTAAAATGACATAAAATACTACCCAGAGTATAAGAGAAGAACCTAGAATTGATGTTCGAGCACATGTGAGAAACATGGATCCCAATAAGCACTACACTCCAAACACCTAAGTTTGAAGAAATCGTTTAGCTTGTAGTTTTATATTTGTCTTTGAATCCCATGGCACATTGAGAATAGTTTCCTAGCTGTGATGCATTAACCTGTATTTTTAATTCTGCGTAACCCCTTGTTCAGAAGAGGTTCTCTGCAGTTCGACAAACCAACTACCGTCATAATACGTCGGCTTCAGCTTTTGATAATGTATTTGTCTGCACATTTTTTAATTCTTAATGAAAATAAGTTTTTCTGTCGATTATAATAATAGTCTGCAGTTGTAAAGCCAAATAGGCCTCATTCTCCTCAATTCTTCATCGGGTAATACTATCCTGAAATCATGGTATACGAGTTGCATTCACTTGCTTTCCTAAATTAGTTAATGAATAATTCATTAGTATTTACATTCCACTGCAGTTCGTCAGTACCCTCATTTGTTTATGCGATACAGGTTAAGAACTTTTATTTACCCACCAAGTGATCAGAATGTGAAATGAGCTTTTATTTGACATTAAATTATTGTCCCTTATCACTGATCAACCCTTGATTAAAAAACTTAAATAATGAACTACTTCAACGTATTTACTTCCAATTCTAAGCAGCTAAGTGTTGTGAACAAAAACCAACGGGCATAATGTATTCGATCTCATGGATGTATAACATGAACCTGTGTCGAGATTTCACCCATTTTGTTTAAACAGTCAAAACATAAAAGACAGTGTCGCAAAATAAAAGGTCCTAGCAAATTTTCAACGCCTGGAGGGAGAATACTTTCTTGCTCTTGATTTTCCCATCATGACTGAAAACTGAAACACTGCTACTCGTACAATCTATCTGTTTGTTGTGGAATTTCAATCGATTTTGACTCTTGAGATATTTTGACCCTAATAAAAAATCTACCACGTAAGTTCTTTTTGCTTAGGCTAGCAAATTAATTTTCAATCAAAATATGTATGAGGATCGAATTTTACCCGATTTCACATATACTATTTTTAGTGTTTTGTATTAAGAATACTCGAAGTAAAGAAAACAGAAAATATATGGAATCGAAAAGCAGTGTTGAAACTTAGATTGCAAAGAAATGTAAACTACGAGAATCTTAAGTTTGCTTTAAGTGTAAATGACAGGGAATCGAAACAGCAACGATGTAAATAACGAGAAATCGAATTTCCCGGAAATGTAAAAGACAATAAATCAAAGGTGCAATAGATGACTGGAAATCGAAATTGCATTAATGTAAAATGACCAGGGAATTTAAATACGGAAACTTAACTTGCATTGAATCGAAATGACCAAGAATCGGAAATACAGAAACATAAAATTGCTGAATATAAATTGCATCAAAATAAATTACCAAGAAAAATAAAGAAAGCGATAAAGGTACTCCGTGAGCATAGAAATCCAGATTGTCAGAAGCTTCATGGTGTTCGTCGTTTCTCCGGTAGACTTTTTCACTACTAATCCTATTCTCTGCCAATTTCCGCCTCTTTATTCCTTCTTCCTCTGCTCTATTTATAGGGCAACATTCAAGCCTTCTAGGAGCAGTTAAAAAAACTGCTACCACGTTCTTCGTGCGCATTGCAGTTTCTTCTTCAAACTGCACCCACGTTCCCATGATCTTCAACATCTGCCACGATTTAGAAACTGTTTTCTATGTGCGTGTTTAACTCCTTCTCTTTATGATCTGACCATGATTTTGATATTTATGCGGGTTAACCTTTCTTTCGATTTAGACTTCAATTCTATCGAGAACTTTGGATTACTTTTGATTCCTTTTAACCTTAGCATCATATACTTCTAATTTCTTGGTTTGTTCCACAATAAACTTTTGACTATTATTTTTCTGATTCCGACTCTAACTTTCGATTTTATGTGCCATGCCCTTCTAATTGGACATCGGATGGTTTCTCATCCACCTTTTCGCTTTACCGATCAATCACATGTTTCTTGATTTTTCTTTCCTTCATTTTTCGATCGTTTTTCTCGATTTCCTACTAACACTATCATTAGGTTTAATTCCCCGTTTAAAACTTTAAACAATATTACAAAATTTATCCTTTTGCTTATATATTTCGCCGCTGTTAAAAATTTGCAGCTCGCCAGTACACCAGTAACAAGTGTGAAATGAACCGATGACTTCGGTAGCACCCAAGTTCGAGCCCCTCAACAAAGCAAAAGGATAACATTTTCAAACACTATGCACCAGTAAGATCAAGATTTTAAGGTATTACGTTAGTATTTAAAATAAATTTGTGTTCAACAGGACGATACAGTGTTGATCATCCATTGTATTTAGAAAAAAAAAAAATACATCTTTCATTATTCGTTACCAATTTCTACACTAGATAATACATGACAATCCACTGTAACATGTATCTGTTGACCATTTTTGAGACTAACTATCAGAGTCCCCCGATAATTAATCCTAGTTCAGAGGGATCCAACCTATCATAAGAGAATATAAAGATAACAGAAAATAAAAGAAAACGGTAAATGTCCATAAAAGCATTTCTTCTCTGGGAAAACCTGTTCGCCTCGACTGTCGGTGTCCTACATTTCCGTAAAGGCAGCTACTTATCTCAAAAATATCCTTCAGACAATCTTGAATTTAGCATATCAAATAGCAAGGATATCACAATCGAACAGATGAACAACCAGAAAATCACCACACATCCCTAAGGTAACGTCCATCCATCTGGAGTTTTTTCACTATAGCTTCAGCCTTTGTTGAGTCCACGTTTTCCTAGAATTCAAGGCAGAAACAAGTCTTTAAGACAGTTTCATTCAATAGGTATGGAGTGTATATGCTAGTGCAACTAAAAAATCCATGATCAAATGGTGAATCAGAAGAACAATAGCATTATAAAATAAAAGTTTTGCAAAAAGACTTAAAACGAAATAATTTAAAGATGAAATTTTACATTGTTGAGTCCCTTCATATACTAAACACAACATAAATGTAGACTAAGCGTAACCACGTATGACTGAAACAGCAGATGATTATCCCTCACCCACAGAAGTTGTGAAAGCTTGTTAGGTTATAAAGTAAAGGAGAAGTTAGTAAGATAGTTAGCATATTAATGAGTCAATTAGTTGTTTAAGGTGTTGTTTAGATATAAATAGGATAAGAAGAATGGCAGAAGGCAGTTCATATTTTTGTAAATTGAACATTAGTTCTTTATGAAAAAAGAAATCCTATGTGAAGGGGGAAACCCTTAGAGGAGAGAGTGCTCTCCTATTTTCTATTATTTTCATTCTATTCAATAAAAATATTTCTTTTCTTTTTTATGTTTAATTCCTCGCTCCTAACAAAGCTAAAGTCAAGTCTAAAGAGGAAAGAAGAAAAAAACTAATGATATCCACACATGCATAAGGATAGAATGAAGTTGATAATGGTTTTTTCCATACTAATTTTTGAAACACTTTGTGGTTGGAAGAGAGAATTCTTCCAAATGGCACTGAAAACAAAAATTGACGCATGAAGTAGTAGAGCCAACGCATTTAGAAGAAGCTAAAACGTAATTTTAATTCCCAAATAATAACCTTTGGTAAAAATTTAGCAAGCTTACTATTTATTTGTCAACCAATTTCTTTAATAATAATGCGCAAAGAACATTGTCCCTGATTTTATGTCTATCACTGGATGGTTAAGGAGAACTTAACTGTAATTTTTTAATAACAAGTCCAAAGGGCGCACAAGTTCACATCCTCACAAACAGAAGAATGTTCAAATTTCCCACATTTAAAGTACTAAACACCCCAACAATACAATAATAAACCAATAGAAGAACAGCAAAATAAACATACCAAGTCAATTAATGAAGAATCTTCACCTTTAAGTAAAAAACAACTTTTGTTCCATTAAAAAATTCAAATGCTTTAATTTAGTACTGAATTTTCCAACAATCAAATCAAATTATGTGTTTGTAATCCAAAAAGAAAAGGCTCTCTACTATGACATAAATATACTATTATACTCACTTCACTCCTTTGCAATATTATTATTATTATTATCTGTTCCACGTGAAGCAGAAAATAGAAAAGCTTACTTTATTTTCTCATCCTAGTTGGTGAAGTTCTTTCAAAAAAAAAGAGAAAACTTAAGTATAATGCAGAAGGGAGGATCAGATGAAAGACAATCAGCACCTGCTGCTGGACAATGGAATGAAGAGTCCGATGAACATCTCTGGCCATACCCTTGGCATCACCACAGACGTAAAGATAACCTCCTTGAGAAATCAAACTCCACAGTTGGGCAGCCTGCACATATAAAAATTAATGCAGGAAATAATTTGTCCAGTTGCGTTTGATACCTAATAAGCTGCTATTCGCACTTACTTGGTCCATCATCTTGTGTTGAACATATTCCTTTTCAGCCCCCTCTCTAGAGAATGCAACTATCAATTCTGAAAGAGAACCTTGTTCCACAAAATTCTTTAGCTCATCCTCGTAAATGAAGTCCTATACAAAACATCATAACTGGAAAATCAGAAACTGCTCTGAAAGTCCATTTGGATAAAAAGCACAAAGGGAAATTAATTTACCATTTGCCGATTTCTACATCCAAAGAAGAGTACTGCAGGGCCAAGTTGAAGACCATCCTCTATGAGAGCATATCTTTCCTGGGTGAATCAAAGAAAAGGCAAGAATTCAGCATCGCCTGAACAGTCATTCATTAGACTAATAATTTGAGTTTTAGGGCTATTAGTTATGTGGGTAAAGTGGGTTTACAGCAAACATACCATACAAAATCGTAACACAAATTGTTGATATATATATTGTGAATGTGTGTATCATTTATTCAAATATTTTTTGAACTCTATTGTTTCTGATTGAATTTACGTGCTCATATATTTATCATAATTCTTTTTTAAATATATTTTCAATGAAGATTTTTAATATTTGTTATTCTTATTGAAGATGATAATCAAATTTTTAGGAGACTGGTTAATTCTTATTCTAAGATTAATAGAGAAAAACAAAGTAATTTAAATATACCTAATCACTTAAGTCAACCTAATAAAATACTAAATTATAAAAAAATTATCATTCATAATAATTATATTTAACTTCAATAATAAAATTAGCTTTTATAAAACATCTATCTAATTTTCAAAAATTATCCTAATAAAAGTTTTTAATTAATTAATAATATAATTATTAAAAAAATTAATACATCGTGCTAAACTCAACAGATGATAAACTATACATCATCATTTCTTTTCCTCTGCCACGGAACCTTTTCTTTTCCTCTACTACGTGCACCTTCCACACCCTTCTCTTCTCTCTTCTTTTTTCACATTCGAAGCACTTCTCCTATCTTCTTTTAAAATTCGAACCACGCGACCCAGCCCGCACCCCAACCTGCAACGACGAAACCTGGATAACGATTCTACGTTTTTTCCTATCTTGGACGATGATTCCCACGATGTTACACTGTTCCAATCTTACGATTCCCCCGATCCTACATTGTTCCAATCTTACGTGGAACTGAAACCGTGATGGAAGATGGGATGCATAACCGTGGAATTGTATGATTCTACGATCTTCCTCTCGATTATGACTAGAGTGGTTTTAAAAAAAAAAACTTAAAATAAACATCTTATAAAAGCACTATGGAAAAATAAGCAATTTGGATTTGTTAAAAACAATCTTCTTCCACTTTTATTTCATTGTTCTTGTCTCTTGTTAGAGCAGATTTTCGCCTTCAGCTGTGACTTGAAAGCAATTTAGCAATGCATCTTGACAAACTAAAATAAGTTGTTTTTAGTGCATAGCTTTAGTTCAATCGACAACACAGAAAACAAGCTCAAAAGCAAAGTGGAGCTTTATAGTTGTAACAGAATAAAGAATTAGGTGCTTTGAATTTTAATTCATAATAGGAAGTGATTATTATATCATTACCTATTTGATACATATATTCCTTTTTATATTCAATGGTTCAATCATCATCCCTTCTTTCTTCTATATAGTTGTTTCTAGAAAATTTTTATGAGAATTATATAATACACACATCTATAACAAATGCAATACCTGTAAAAATCCCCTGAATGGTGCGAGACCGGTACCAGGTCCAACCATAATAATAGGAACTGAATGATCATCTGGTAGTTTGAAATTTGATGGCCTAATAAAAATAGGAGCCCAGCTACAGTCGTGACTTTTTTCTAAGGGAATAGCATTCTGATAATTCATAAGAGTTTTAAGTTAGAAACAACATAAAATGATTAGGTATAACACCTCTCAGGAAGAGATGAGAATCACAAACACGATATGTTGAGGGCAGAGGGTCCATGTTAAAAAAGAGGACCATGTTATTGCATAAGTGTATCAATTGCATATCGGTACCTTCATCCAAGTTGAACATACACCTCTGTGAATTCTACCAGTGGGAGTCGGACCATACACCAAGGCACATGTTACATGTACCCTTTGAATAGCAAACCTGGACAATCAAGTAATACAATATTATTTCTTCGCAAATTATCTCATAAAGGTTCATTTGATACTTTAAATAAGATAAGATAACCACCTAGGAGAGGATGAAATAGAATAATAGCGAGGCTGTAAACGAGGGGCTACTGCAGCAAAAAAAACACCAACAGGAGGTTTTGCTGACGGAAACGCAGCCATCACCTCAAGGAGACTTCTTTGGCTTCCAACCACCCATTTGGAGTACTCATCCTGGAAACCAAAAATTGAAAATCATCATCATCACAGAAGAGGAAGATGAAACAAAGAAAAAGAAATTTTCGTATTTGTGAACAAAAGACAGAAACAGGACTACGAATTTTCTACCTTCCCCTGAGGAGATGAAAGGAACTTTAATCTTTCTGCTTCACTAGGTTCAGAGGCATGAGCAGCCAATGCAACTAAAGCAGCCTGAAAGAGAAGCATGTGTAACTATTTCTTTATTTTGATTTATATAAAACAAGCACAAATCCCTATTTAATCACAATCTTATAATACAAAAAAAAATAGTAAGCACATAAAGTGAAGATAATATAAAAACCTTTCGTGGGGGGTTCAACAGATCAGCATAACGTGCTAATGCAGTACGCAGTGAGCAAGGCCCAGGGAAAGGAGGTAGGAGAGAACCACCTAGGGAAGTGCCATCCTCCTTATCTGTGTGAAGAGAGAAAAATAGATCTAAATTCTGACCCAACAATTTCCCAGCTTCTTCAACAGTTTCTTCGCAGTTCTCAGCATAAACACCTACATGGTCTCCAGTTTCATATCTGGGAAATATCAGGCAATAGTCATCAAAAGGTTTATTGATTAATATCACAGAAAATTGGAACAAGATATTATAGTTCTCATCTAATTAAGCATGAGAAAACCTCAATCCGTAAAGAGAAATGTTGCCTACACACGCTTTCCAACAAATTCTTCAATATTGGCTGAAAATTCTTAGAAATCACAAAATTGTGTGATTCTCATTCCATATTTAATGAAATTCCCTCATGATTTTGTAGTTTTCAACAAATTTTAACCAGTTAGAGGGTGCTAGGAGGAGTATGTTGGATATTTCATTGTTGGCACTCATCCATAAATAACGGTTGATAACTCATGCATTTCACACATCTGACACATTTGCACAGATCAAAATCATTAACAATAAGTTCATCAGCAAATCTCACCCTCGTTTCCTGTTTGGGGTTGGAGAGGGAGAAATAGGGTATCTGACAAGCTTTTATTACTTAAAATCTCTAGTTATCTATCAAACAAATATTTAATCATTTCTTTGAATTACAACAAATAACCCTTATTGGAAATATTCCACCAGGACTCAATTATTGATTAATAATTAGATAATATCTTGTTTAAAACAAGTTTAAAAATCTATCAAAACAATCATTAACATAATGTATTTGAAGTCAATACAAAACAAATTTATTAGAATTCACCAATGCTATTGTTCTATGTTGTCTTGTTTAACAAGAAAAAATGATAGGGTTATTCATCAGGAAGTATGTCCAACTTACGTTATGCCAGTCCCTGATATATCAAATTCCAAATGTATGCAAGATCGGTCAGACTCAGGTTTGTGAAGCTCCTTTTGTACAGCAACATTCACCCTTCAAGAAATGAAGCAACGGGTTTGTTTAATAGCCTGAATTAGTAAGAAAAAACAGTATTGGTATGTACAATTCTAAGTACCTGCAAGGATGATGAATATCAAACACAGTATTCCCATTTGCCCCGATTGTGTGATTATCATAGGTTGATGTAACAATGGGGTCATGAATCACTACTCGATATTCAAGAATAGCAGCTGTATAGGGGGTAGAGACAGTACTTGCATCATCCTCATCTCTGAGCAACTGATCCAACTCAGGCCACAAAGTTTCTTTCCTGTAAAACCAAAGATAATTCATGGTTTTCAAAATACCAAAAAAGTAGTAGACACCTTTCATACAATTTTATGTGTAGCCACACTTGTAGCAACAATATAATTGATAGCTAAATAGCAGTAGTGAGAGGAATCAGAGGACTATATTACCAGGAAGAAAAATCATCTTCAATGGATTGATCATCGTCACCTAATCCAACTGGAACAAGACGCTTTGCCCCTGCAGCAAACACAACTCTGTGTAAGAAAATACCTCTGAATCTAATTAACAGACTTCAGAACTTATATTAGAACATATTTTTATTTTTATTAATATACATTTCAAAGGATTAATACAAATCAGTGGAAATATAAAACTTAATAAGAGATTTTTCCTAGATTGTAAACAAATTACAATCACGTAATATAATTCCATCAGCACAATGTAAGTGCAGGATCTGTGTAACATATATCTAGAACCAAGAAATTGTAATAATATTTCCTAATAAATGAATGACTTAGAACTTTCTGAAAGTTTTTTAAAACATTATACATACATTAGACTTTTTGAAAGGCTTATTGAATCTAACAAGATAAGGCACCATTCCACTGAGCAAATAGAAAAAGGAAGTTGCCCTAGTGGATTAACTTTGCTGCTGTGGAGGGAAAAATGAAGTGAAACAAAAATCAAAAGCACAAATGACAAATGACAAAATAAAAAAATGTATCAGGCTCTTCTTCACCTTTTGATCAACAACAATGATTCAGTGCAAATGTAACGAGGCAGATTAGCAATTTAATACTTTTGAAAATACAGGAGATGCAATCACACACCTTGTTCAGTAAGTTCTTCATCCACAACATTACCTATCTGTATCAAAAGAACAGCATCAGAATTAAATGACGATTTTTTTTGTTAAATAAAAATAAACTCATGATTTTACCTTATTAAAATGCTCGTATTGTCTGTTACCTAGGCCAAAAACTCCATATGAGAGCTGTTGAAGCCAGGTTCCCCTCTCATCTTTCCCCTAAAATTAATCTCAAACAAAACTTACAATCATTTTAAGTAAGCCATATGAATAATGAAAATGCAAGGACAGGCCTAAGATGTAGGATTTACTTAAAAGTGATGTAACTACAAACCTCAGTAAACCATTTGTAGAATCTTGCAGCATTATCTGTTGGCTCTCCATCTCCATAACTGTCATGTAAAGTCAAAATGCATCATATTCACCACAAGTTTCAATAAATAAATGCATTTAAACCATTTTTATCTACATAAATCTTACGTTGCCAGCATGAAAAATGCTAGAGTCTCTTTCTTCAGCTTCTCCTCATATTGGTCATCATCCGCTGCATAGTCATCCTAGTTAAAATTAAATATACATCAGACACTAGCTAAACTTAAAGTTTAAAATTGAAATTCTTTACTTCCTGTACAATGATACCAAAAGTCTTCTAGAACTCTCCTTGTGAGAAATCAAACATTTAAAATAAAATGTTTGACCCACATATCAATGACCGTAACATATGCATTGCTAAAATTTCATTTCAATCCAACTTACCAGGTCAACAACTTTGACAACTGCTTTTTCATACCTTGCCTTGATCTCCTCTGCTAACGCCTGCAATTACAAATAAATATAAAAAAAACAGTAATTATATAAAACTGGCACATAACTTCCGGGCAGATTTATAGCTGTGGTTGTGCCAGGGGTAACCATTTCGAGCATTATGGAAAAGAGGAAGTTAGCATCATCTTTACACAAAGTATATTTGCAAATGCTCTAATCATTTCCAAGCTAAATTTAGAATATTCACAATAATCCAACTATGAGGACATATTACCGTTCTAGGACAGCAAGCCAAGAAAGAGGCACGAAAGTTCAGGACTTGATTCACCCGAGAAAGGCGTTAACAAAATAGGAGAAAACAAAGAGGAAAAAGAAAAACGTGCTTGACTATTTTGAATGCATTTGCCACATTAATTAACTACTCCGAGATAAAATTCATAGTAAAAGCAAAATGCTTAAGTTTTCCAGATACAAAACCCTAAAAACCACTGCTAATAGTCCCAATGACTGACAGTTCGAAAGCTTTTGACTACTTCATCCTATCCAATGTCACAGTACTTGAGGCACCTTTTTGTGATTTCCACAGTTACCAATAAGAAAGGCATGCCAACCACAACAACTATGTGAGCATCTCAAGCAGCAAGAGGCACTGTCAGCTCATCACCGTTAGGGACGCCTTTTAACTATCACGACGAACTATTTTCAAATTCACACTAACATGCAACAAGAACACAACAACATTACTCGCTCCTTGGCGTTTTCAATAGCAAAACAAACACAATCACATCAAACAAAAACAGAAGCCAAACAATCCGCTTCGCCATGAATATCATCATTACAATAGCTTAGGTGAACTAAGTCATCGCAGGAGTAAAAACTACGATATCTTCTCCATTCACCAAACAGCAAGAAAAATTCATAATTATATTTGACACAAATAATATTCTTCTTCTATTTCAAAGATCCAGAACATTTGATTCAATTCGACTCGATCCAGCAGTTAAAAAAAAAAAGTAAAGCTAAATAGAAATATAACCTTAGCAAAGCCTTCAGCAGTACCGGTCTGAGTACCGAAGAAAACGGTGACCTTAGTCTTGCCGGCGGCAACGTCAACTTCGTCGTCCTCCTCCTCCTTCAGCAACCCCTTCGGCACAATCACCGGTTTCACCTCCTTGCTCCGATCCGAAGATTTCTTCCACAAAAACACGAGAAGGCCGATTATGACCGCGGCGGAGGTAGTGGCGATGAGGAGCAGCGAATCCGAAACGGAATCGCCAAGCGAAACGCCGAGGAGTGACTCAACAGCGCGCACCAAATCGGAATTCGAAGCCATCGAGTCCACAACTCTGTCAAATTTGTGAGTACGGTGCGGGAGGTGAAGGAGACAGTGACGACTCCCTACGTGATCGCGTGAGAGCGAGTGAGAGAAACCTAGCAGGTAGTCGTAGTAGTTGTAGTGAATGACTCGACCCGAGAGAGAGAGAAAGAAAGATGGGGATGGGTGTAGTAGTGAGAAGAAGAGAGAGGAAAGGACCCAGCGAGAGCTAAACCAGAAACCTTGGGCCACTTTCCATCGATGTCAATGGCTTTACTTCTCGGGTTCTGGGAACTTGCAACTTGCCAAGCGATAGTAATAATAGCGCGAGATATCGCCGCACTCGCGTTGACAATAACCTCAAAAATCTTGCTTTTGTGTTTCTTTTAACCTCTTCTGCTTCCTTCCTGGCTTGAACTATTATTACTTTATCCTTAATCATCTCGCGATAAAATAAACCAAAAACCCAAAAAGGTAGTACAAATGAAATATACAAATTTTTTTTGCATCATTTATATCGAACTTTTCTAGCTTTTACGATTATTTGTTCGAATATTTAGTGAAAATAAAATTATAGGTTTAATTAATTAATTAGTCCTTATGTACTATTTTTTCCTGTAGTTTTTATACTTCAAATTTTATGTTTTAATTTTTACACTTCAAAATATTTGTACACGTAAATTTTTCATATTTTAATTAATGTTATTATTTTTCTAACACGATAGAATTGTCCTGGAATAAACTATAAAAACTGAAATGTAAAAATATTATTTAAATACAAAAATTAAAACTTAAATTTGTTATCTAAAATTATAACAAAAAAGAGTTAAAAAAACATATATTTTATAATGAAATAATTATTGTTTATATTACTAATTAAATTGTTTAGATGTAAAAAATGATAAGCGTTATTTTGAAGTAAATATTTCGAATTAAATATTGTAAAGTAAGCTAAAAACCTAACCAATTAACAATAGCCAGGTTAGGTTTTGGTGATTTTAAATCTCAACCTAACATTATGGTTTTCAAGTTTGGTGAAGTTATTGGGCTTATTATTAAATTAGTAAAAATGACAAAATGAAAAAAAAAGCTACAGACTTATATTAACTTATTACAAAACTGTTAATTCAAAATATTTATTAAATAATTTTATTAATTTTTTATCTAAATAATTTCATTTTTTCTATATTTTATTTTATTTTCCGTTCTCACTTTTCAATTCAAAAGTGCAAATGTCAAATATGAAAAAAATAAAAAACGTTTAAGTGATTGTGTCATTGTTGTTATTGGTATTGAAATATAATTATAACATGTTTTAGTGTGAATGTGCAAGGAGGATGGGTGCAAATTTGTGTTTAACATATTTGTTTTTAGTTTTTGTTGCCTACTGTCAATATTTATTATTATTAGAGGAATGAATAGATAAAACTAATTAATATTTTATTTAAAAAACTAAAATACCACTTATTTTAATTTTATACTATTATTAGACAATTATTATGAAATGAATGGAGTGTATTATTAATGTCTTTCAATACCTAGAATATGAATGGTTCCAAATGCTCGTTTTCTGTTTCTTGTTCACCAAAATGTTACTAGTAATTTGAAGTCAACAGCGGTGATTAATATAGAAACTGCCTGCTTTAACATTTGTTAGTGTGTAGCTAATAAATATCATAAATTTGTCACAGTTTCACTTGTGCCTCTAAACACTGTTTATATATGAAACTTGAACCCACAACATTTAATTATAATTAACGTGCATTCTCAATAAATAAAATAAGATCAACAAACCAGTTTGTCTTCAAAAATATGAAAGACTAAATGCTTATCAGCATTTAGATGCTCATTTTTTCTATCATACTTTTACAAAAAAAAAAAAATTAATTTCATAAATAATATATTAAAAAAATACTTAAATAAATTTTTTTATAAATTTATTGATCATCCATACACAAAATTCAATAATAACGAAAAATCGTGAGTTTCTATTTTTATTTTTTACTTATTTTTTATATTCTATTTTCTTTTATTAATATTTTTTTGTTTTGTCTTTTATTTTATTTTATTCTTTTCTCGTTTCATCTTATTATTATAATTAAAAATATTATATTAAAATTTAATAAGATCATTTTTTAAAATATCTCATAAATATTATAATATAATATATTATATATTTTTTAAATATTATATAATAAATTTGTGAAATTACAAATATTATTATTATTATCTTATAATTATTAAAACAAATTAATTATTTATTTTAAAATATTTTTTTTAAATTATCTAATATCATAACCCAATTAAATTATAATTAGATTAAATTATTGAATAAAAAATTACATTTAACTCAAAAACATTTAATTTTTATATATAAAATTCATTTATTATAATAAAATTATTTTAAATTAATTATTTATGTTAGTTTAGAGAAAAAAATTTCATTGTCATAAATAAAAGAGGTGAGAGAAAGACTTAAAAAAAAATAAAAAGAAATAAATACATTTGAATGTTTTTTATTAAAATTATTAAAGAAAATATATCAATACAATTCTAAATTGATTAAAATCAATTTTTTTAATTCGAGCAGCTGAAAAAAAAATATGGGAAAGATTTAAACATTTCATTAAATTTAATAAAATAATATATTTTATAATATAATAATATAATAAAAATATAAAATAATAATAATTAAAAAAATATTATTTCTATATTATAATTGTGACGTATATTTTTTTTATATTATAATAATATTACTCTGCAAGAAAACTTCATAATGAAGTTTTCCTCATGCACAATAAGATTTTTCTTATATATATGCATACAGAAATGGGGGAGGAGGCAAAATCTAAATTTCTCTCTCATCCTTCTTCTTTTTTTGTTTAAATTTCAAGCAACGATACTCTATTCGTGCAGGATCTGGTAAAACGGGAGAGAGTTTGAATTAAGTGGGAAAACTTCGGTAGAAATACCACACTAGGTAAGGGGAAGTTTAATTCACTCAATATATGAGACTGAATTGTTGAGTACTCTATGGGTCAGGAATAGGAGTGGAAATTTGAACATTAGAATGATTGATTTTGAAGATTTTTCATGTTTTGCAAAACTTGAAATTTTGTTGGAATTCTTAAAATTAATGATGAATTATATGGTAAATTGTTGTTTTTAACTTAAATTAGATATAATTCATGTTTAATTTTAATTTGGTACTAGTTTGGTTGTCTAAAACTGAGTAATTTAAATTATGCTAAAATCTGCAAATTTTGATAGTTACTGGCACGAGAAAGAAGAAAGGGACATGGAAGGAATTTTCAAAAATGTCCAAGGGTAAAATAGTCATTTAGGGACATACATGAAATTTTTAGAAAAGATTAAGGGCAAAATAGTAATTTAATGATTTCATAAAAGATTTCGGAAATGATTTCGAAAAGAAGAAGAAGAAGAAAATATATATATATATATATATATATATATATATATATATATATATATATTTAAAATATAGAATGAAGGTAGCAGTTTTAAAGATTCGAGTAGTGTGTTATGACGTGTGTGAGTCGGACCGAGTCTAAGGGTCGATGCCCATAATCGATCATGATGATGTGAACATGACCTATGATAAGGGCTAGAGCAAGGGAAACAAAGGAAGCTCTTCAACAAGTATTGTTGGTTGGCCAAATTGTGTTTTGGATTAATCAATTAATGGACTTTAGTTTGATTTTGTTTTAAGTTGTAATAATGGTCCAATTGAAAATTTAGTCATCAGCCTTTGGGAGACCAAGGGGTGCATAACTGATTGACTTTTGGTTGCCATAGTTTCAAATACAATAAGTCATTAAGTAGTTTCAATTCTTAGGTTAATGGATCATTATTAGCCTTTATTTATTTCCATTAAATAGTTTTCAATTCCTAGATTAATGGGTTATTATTAGTATTTATTTTCTTTTATTGAGTCTTTGTAATTCCGATGGCAAAACTTCTTTACAAGCTGAACCATTTTTATCAAAAATAACAAGTTGAGTTTTATTTTTAGAAATATTAGAGTTTATCTCTTTTATCTTAGTGAGAGTGATTCTCCTAAGTTCTTAAGTGATTCAAGAACCATTGGCTCTGTCAAAGGACTTTCACATCCTTTGTGTGTTGCCTTCCTTGGAAAGAGTGATTCTTTCCTTCCACCTTATCACTAAATTTCTAAATTTCTTACAAGGTTCTAACCTTAAAGATCCTAGATTACCCCTTGTGATTCATATCAATTGGTATCAGAGCCCCGGTTTAAAGGTTTGAACATCAAATTGATGGCAGAGGAGAATAAAAAGAAAATGAGAGAAAAATTTCTTCAAGAAAAGAGAGAAAAAAAGAAGAAGAGTGAAACACGTGAAGTGAAACAGAGCTATTTAGCCATAAAAAGTGAGTATAACGTTAGTTCTACATTCAATTTATCAGACTTATCTCTTTTTTATGTAGATGATAAATCCGATTTGAGGACAAATCCTTTTCAAGAGGGAGAAAATGATGTGAATATGACCTATGATAAGGGCTAGAGCAAGGGAAACAAAGGAAGTTCTTCAATAAGTATTGTTGGTTGGCCAAATTGTGTTTTGGATTAATCAATTAATGGACTTTAGTTTGATTTTGTTTTAAGTTGTAATAAGGGTCCAATTGAAAATTTAGTCATTAGCCTTTGAGAGACCGAGGGGTGCATAACTGATTGACTTTTGGTTGCCACAGTTTCAGATACAATCAGTCATTAAGTAGTTTCAATTCTTAGGTTAATGGATCATTATTAGTCTTTATTTGTTTCCATTAAATAGTTTCAATTCCTAGATTAATGTGTTATTATTAGTATTTATTTTCTTTTATTGAGTCTTTGTAATTCTGATGGCAAAACTTCTTTATAAGCTGAACCATTTTTATCAAAAATAACAAGTTGAATTTTATTTTTAGAAATATTAGAGTTTATCTCTTTTATCTTAGTGAGAGTGATTCTCCTAAGTTCTTGAGTGATTCAAGAACCATTGGCTATATCAAAGGACTTTCACATCCTTTGTGTGTTGCCTTCCTTGGAAAGAGTGATTCTTTCCTTCCACCTTATCACTAAATTTCTAAATTTCTTACAAGGTTCTAACCTTAAAGATCCTAAATTACCTCTTGTGATTCATATCAGTTGGTATCAAAGCTCCGGTTTAAAGGTAGGTAGCCTGCTGCTGCATGGCAGCTGGCAACATTTCCATTACCCTGGCTAGGGCATCTACACTCAGCGAAGTAGGAGTAGGAGGTTGCAGTGTTATCCTATATCAAACGCAACCATCAATACAGAGCAAACATTCACACACACTCACATATCAGAGTATAATCACAACGAACTTATCATAGGGTCATTACCCATCCCCACAGATTTACAAGGATACTACCGCTCTGATACTACTATTGTAACGACCCTAG